ACAACAAAAAAAAAATTAAAAACAGACACGACACATCTGATTAAGATGACTGTTCGGAATCCATTCAGACCATATCATTGAGAAAAGCAGCATATAAACAAGACTGGATGAGTCAGTGATCCAGAAACAGCTAAAACATGGAAGTCATTTGTACATGAGGCAGAGAAAGGCCATCAGGTCAGTCGGACGCAACCGTTTCGAGGAGTCTTTCGCGGGGAGGATTTGAGGAGAGGGGCGATGCCGCGCCGATGAGGCTCCTGTTGATCGCCTGGCAACCCGAGGCGATGGGCGATGCCGCTCGGCAGAGGCGACTGTTGGCGACGGGTACAGTCGCGATGACGGGACACAGCTCCTCCTGTGCTCGCTGGATCAATTGTGTCAGGTTATCCATCCTTGACAGGAGCTGCAGGGAACACAGACAGATTAATCTACTTCAGCTGGCAAAAATATCAGAGGGGGGCTCTGTCAATTACATCACACATACTGGCACAAAATGCAAAAATAAATGTAACATTTCTACTAAAGAGATTGAATACTATTAGATAGACAGAACCTTATACCTCGTAAACTAGTATTGTACTTTCATATTTTTCCCGGTCAAACTTTATTATACGAATTGTTTGTGAACAATTAACCGTCCCCTACCTTAAGATAGTAGTATTTTGAGACCTTAAAGAACAACTATTTTTACACCAGGTAACTGTTACATATAAAACCTCCAGTTCAAACCATGTCAATGACTTCAGGTCAATTACATTCCTTACATGAACAACATTATTCATTCACTTGTCACAAAGAAACAAAAAACAACCCCACAAACGCCCAAAGAAAACCTATCAAAAGATCACATCCTCATGCAAATTAAAAAGCAATGTTTTTCTCTGAGTGAGTAGTTTCTCCTAACGAAAAACACTACTGCACAAACATCCGATTGAAGTGAAAAACTAAGCAGATATCAGCAAAGAAATCAGTAGAGTAAATCCTTTATAATATACAAAGCCTTCAAATTCCCAGGAACATTGACAGCATGGGAAACCATGCCAGAGGGCAGGGAGCGACGCCTCACCCTCTCCGCGTCAGTGGACGAGAGGGACTTGAGTCGAGTTTCCAGTCGGGTGATGTCGAGAAGGACCTCCTTCTCCGCCGCAATCATGTCGTCCAACCTCTTCTCTGCTGCGACCAGCGCCTCCTCCTCTTTCCTCATCTGCGAGCAGAAACCATTCTAAAAGTCCTTAATCAACACCCTTTAAGTGGAGTGAGTTGTTTTTGTTTTAATTTAGGGTGTGGATCAACATTTTACTCTTTTAATGTTTACTTAAGTACGACTTTAATCGAACGGAGAGTGATTGTATCCATAACCATGTGCAATTTAGCAGGAACATATCCACAGAAATTCTCAAGAAAAATTAATAGGCACGATCTAGATAATCTTCACCATTCCACCAATACCTCCCCTTGCATTTCAACAAGCCAATGCATATCAATGCACAAAAAGCCTGATAGAATTGGATGAGCCTCCCATCCCATTCTTGATGCATCTTATTCCAATCCCATGCAACACTGAGAATGAAGAAAAAGACCACGGTGTTGCACGACATCCATCGGAGATGAAAGACGGTAACCAAATCACGTTACCGTAACAGTAACCAAATTCCAAGACATGCCTTTTCCACACGCAGATCAGTTCACATTCCTCTGAAGGCACATTTAATACCTCTTGGTAAAGGTGCATTCTATTCTATGAAAGAATCCTTGAAATCATGCCTTGTGTCTATGTCATGCACCAGTTTTAAGGCAAGTTCAATCAGGGCCTTTCGGACAAAACCCTGAGTTTCTCTTGATGTTAATAACATTTCCTCTTCCTTCAATAACAACTCATTATCCACTTGAATTAATTTTTGTTCTTTCCATCATTTATAGTAAGTTGAATCCCATCTCCCATTCCCTTTTACCTTCCTGAGGCCTAATTTATGTAATTCCATACTGTTGTGTTTTCTGGCAAGAAGTGCTTGATTTGATGAACTTCATATTGTGCTTCCCGTGATCAATGACACAAAAATAAAGATTGCCATAAATTACTCCAGAACTCTTGCTCCATCATTACAAAGCATCTTCACACTTCCATCCCTTGCAATTTGCACTTCACCTGCAGACTGCCAAAACGGCCACTCACCTCCTCGATTTCCTTTGTCGCGTCTCTGCATCGCCTCTCGAGATCGTCATACTCGTCAGCAGAATACTGCTGAGCTTGGATGGAATCTTCCGGGAGGAGAACGTGTGGAGGGATCATGAACTGCTCCTTCATGAAGGCCTGGAAAGGCAAGCATAATCAAATTAAAACAAAGCCAACTGACTCAAATGCAGGGGGCAAGTGCCCATGGGAATGGGTCCAGGAATATTCCTCATCTTCCATTTAGGCCTACAATTGATAGCCCATTCAATAACAAGAATAAACCAAGGGGACAGTAGAGAAGCATCCAGGCATAAAGGCATGAAAATAAAGGGCTAGCAGATTTACTTCTGACATATACAATGCATTCAAAGTAATAACAAAGGCGTACAAGGAGACAAAGCAGGCCTAGAGGAGGTTACACGAGACTTCATGGTAGAGATTTGAAATATCTACAGCAAGCATTACTTTTCCCTTGAAGAGTATGGCCAGTTATGCATTTCAAGTCAAGCCCTCAAGTTCAACTTTCATACCATACTTAAGGATAAATAATGCAGATACCTACGGGAAGAACTTGGATCACAGAATGAAAACCAAGAAAGGTATCTATGACCATTACACCTACTAAATCAATCAAGTCCAACAACCTTCCATCACCTCGGCAGGGCCAAAGGTGTTAGAGATTGGCCATAGCTAAGGTGAGAAGACTACTTTCATTGTTTATCATGTAGGCCTATAGTGGAAGGGAACCCCTCCAGACTAGACTAGAAAAGGCTGAAAAGAAGAGTCTCCATTTAAAGAAATTCAAAAGTAGATGGTAGATAGAAGGAAAATGGGCTTCCCACAGATTAACAACACAGAAAATGCCCTGAGACGGGCAGGCATCTATATGCAGTTTGAGGGGCCTTTGGACCCAAAAGCTAACTCTTAGCCAAACAATGACAAAACCAAACTCACAGCAAATTTTGGTGCCTTCAACCGCATCCGCTCCTTGTACTTGGATCTGAGGTCCGTCAGTGCCGCGAGGATGGCCTCGTGCTTCTCCCTCCTCCACTCCTGGGAAGCCGTCGTCTGCATGTCGTCGAGTGCCCGCTCCATGGAAACCAGGAACCGGTCCACCACTGGCGATTCGAGGCGAAAAATCAATTCGGGAGAACGATCTTTGCACGAGGTGGAACTCATTTTCAAAATGTGAGAACCTGGCACTCATGAGAAGGGAAAACGAGCCAGCAGGCATTGCAATCGATGCATGGCATCAAGAGCTGATGCATTGCATGATCAGCATCAACAACCGGGTCTCATGCAGCTGATGCCGCAACACAATTGAATGCACTAGATATGAAATGCAATGATGCCACATGGTGGCATCATTACATTTCTACTCTTATAATTTCTTTTCTTAGGAAGCTCACGTCCAAAGTGTCCACAATGATATGGTAAACAACTTATTCATATTTTTTTTTTAAATAAGATCTACTGCTTCCAAAAAGTTTTTAAAAAATGACATGCAAAAGGTCAACTATCAGAGGGTGACAGATGAGCACTGCATTAAAATGTTCGTGCAGTATCAANATTTTCAGGAATTAGTTGTGGGAAATTCACCTCACTCAACAAAAACAAAATTAAATCCCACACCTAGTTGTAAAATGAGAAAATTACAAATGAATTCATGCTGAAATTAGCTTGCCTCTCACTAACAGGGAATCCATAATCACATGCAATTTAGCAGGAACATATCCACAGAAATTCTCAAGAAAAATTAATAGGCACAATCTAGATAATCTTCACCATTCCACCAATACCTCCCCTTGCATTTCAACAAGCCAATGCATATCAATGCACAAAAAGCATGATAGAATTGGATGAGCCTCCCATCCCATTCTTGATGAATCTTATTCCAATCCCATGCAACACTGAGAATGAAGAAAAAGACCATGGTGTTGCACGACATCCATCAGAGATGAAAGACGGTAACCAAATCATGTTACCGTAACAGTAACCAAATTCCAAGACATGCCTTTTCCACACGCAGATCAGTTCACATTCCTCTGAAGGCACATTTAATACCTCTAGGTAAAGGTGCATTCTATTCTATGAAAGAATCCTTGAAATCATGCCTTGTGTCTATGTCATGCACCAGTTTTAAGGCAAGTTCAATCAGGGCCTTTCGGACAAAACCCTGAGTTTCTCTTGATGTTAATAACATTTCCTCTTCCTTCAATAACAACTCATTATCCACTTGAATTAATTTTTGTTCTTTCCATCATTTATAGTAAGTTGAATCCCATCTCCCATTCCCTTTTACCTTCCTGAGGCCTAATTTATGTAATTCCATACTGTTGTGTTTTCTGGCAAGAAGTGCTTGATTTGATGAACTTCATATTGTGCTTCCCGTGATCAATGACACAAAAATAAAGATTGCCATAAATTACTCCAGAACTCTTGCTCCATCATTACAAAGCATCTTCACACTTCCATCCCTTGCAATTTGCACTTCACCTGCAGACTGCCAAAACGGCCACTCACCTCCTCGATTTCCTTTGTCGCGTCTCTGCATCGCCTCTCGAGATCGTCATACTCGTCAGCAGAATACTGCTGAGCTTGGATGGAATCTTCCGGGAGGAGAACGTGTGGAGGGATCATGAACTGCTCCTTCATGAAGGCCTGGAAAGGCAAGCATAATCAAATTAAAACAAAGCCAACTGACTCAAATGCAGGGGGCAAGTGCCCATGGGAATGGGTCCAGGAATATTCCTCATCTTCCATTTAGGCCTACAATTGATAGCCCATTCAATAACAAGAATAAACCAAGGGGACAGTAGAGAAGCATCCAGGCATAAAGGCATGAAAATAAAGGGCTAGCAGATTTACTTCTGACATATACAATGCATTCAAAGTAATAACAAAGGCGTACAAGGAGACAAAGCAGGCCTAGAGGAGGTTACACGAGACTTCATGGTAGAGATTTGAAATATCTACAGCAAGCATTACTTTTCCCTTGAAGAGTATGGCCAGTTATGCATTTCAAGTCAAGCCCTCAAGTTCAACTTTCATACCATACTTAAGGATAAATAATGCAGATACCTACGGGAAGAACTTGGATCACAGAATGAAAACCAAGAAAGGTATCTATGACCATTACACCTACTAAATCAATCAAGTCCAACAACCTTCCATCACCTCGGCAGGGCCAAAGGTGTTAGAGATTGGCCATAGCTAAGGTGAGAAGACTACTTTCATTGTTTATCATGTAGGCCTATAGTGGAAGGGAACCCCTCCAGACTAGACTAGAAAAGGCTGAAAAGAAGAGTCTCCATTTAAAGAAATTCAAAAGTAGATGGTAGATAGAAGGAAAATGGGCTTCCCACAGATTAACAACACAGAAAATGCCCTGAGACGGGCAGGCATCTATATGCAGTTTGAGGGGCCTTTGGACCCAAAAGCTAACTCTTAGCCAAACAATGACAAAACCAAACTCACAGCAAATTTTGGTGCCTTCAACCGCATCCGCTCCTTGTACTTGGATCTGAGGTCCGTCAGTGCCGCGAGGATGGCCTCGTGCTTCTCCCTCCTCCACTCCTGGGAAGCCGTCGTCTGCATGTCGTCGAGTGCCCGCTCCATGGAAACCAGGAACCGGTCCACCACTGGCGATTCGAGGCGAAAAATCAATTCGGGAGAACGATCTTTGCACGAGGTGGAACTCATTTTCAAAATGTGAGAACCTGGCACTCATGAGAAGGGAAAACGAGCCAGCAGGCATTGCAATCGATGCATGGCATCAAGAGCTGATGCATTGCATGATCAGCATCAACAACCGGGTCTCATGCAGCTGATGCCGCAACACAATTGAATGCACTAGATATGAAATGCAATGATGCCACATGGTGGCATCATTACATTTCTACTCTTATAATTTCTTTTCTTAGGAAGCTCACGTCCAAAGTGTCCACAATGATATGGTAAACAACTTATTCATATTTTTTTTTTAAATAAGATCTACTGCTTCCAAAAAGTTTTTAAAAAATGACATGCAAAAGGTCAACTATCAGAGGGTGACAGATGAGCACTGCATTAAAATGTTCGTGCAGTATCAAAATTGGGAGACGATTTCCTGAGTTCGACTCATCATTGATCTCAGCCTGGACACTCACAGAAATTCGGGATGTCAATGGGCAGTACGGTGAGACGGGCAGCGGCGTATTCATCCTCGGTTTGATCGCCCATTGTCTTGCATTAGTAGGCCTAAATCCCTAGGCTGAGGCTTCACGCGAGCGGTTCAGGTGGCCTAATTCTCTGGACCTGAAATTAAATAGAAAAATCGACAAACCTGACGGATCGCTCCTTCGCCCAATCGAGCCTTATAAAACCCGACTGGTGCGCCCATGCACATACACTAGAGCTATCGTAGCTTAGGCCATTGCATTAAACCAACAAAATCGAGGAATAAGCACTTTTTAAAAAAGAAAAGATGATAACGCACAAAGATGATTGGGACAAGGCCATGGGCAGTGCGCGGGTGCCGCCATGGCTTCAAGGGGCTACAGGCCTGCCACCTGGTGAGTTGGTTGTGTACTCGACAGTTTTTGCCTCAGCCAACAGATGGCGGGTAAAGCAAGATCTTTTCAACTTTTTTATTTATTTTCTCTGGTCAAATTTGCCGGGTCTTCACCTTTCCATCCTATCTTTGAAAGACGTGGAGATTTTCATGCTCTCCTTAGCTGTCGTTGTGTCATTTTGAATCGAAGAGATGACGCTTTTCGAATTTACTAGCACCGATGTGTGATGGATCATCAGGAGCCTGGATGGGACACGGGTTTTGACTTTTTCCACGGTAGACTGATATGTTAGCATGCACTGGAAGCCCTTTCGGGGGTATTCGCCAACGTCCTTTAAGTCATGAATCTTCCGCATTTCGGTGACACAGTGGTAGCTTTCATCGACTAGGAGAGAAAATAAATGAAGGATGGTGCGAACCCGGGACGAGCAAGACCTCGACTGCGGAGGGGAGAAGCGTACGCAGCCTTTTATACCAGCGTCATAGGTGGATCCAAAAATTCTTGCCAGTCGAGTTTCTCCTGTGTCTGTCTTGGCGTCTCCTACAATAATTATGTTCTAAAATTTTTCTGCTTGCATTGTGCTACCTGGCACAATGGATTTACCTCTTTAGTGAATGCTTATTTGATTCCTAAGCATTCAGTTTGTATATTGGTGAAAAAGCATGTTCAAACACGAGAGGCATCAATGCATTTGCATCATGCTTCCATGCCCATCAAATTCATCACAAGTGTATTATTCCTTGTCTCAGCATGTAAAGGTCAAGGTAAAAATAAAAGGCAACTTTGATTCTGACACCGACTTAAAACTTGGAAAAGCTAAAATGTGAGCATGCATCAATCCACTCATGACTGACAAGTACTTCGGAAGGGGAATGGAGTTTATTGCTACACGAAAAAAAAACCAACTGTGCAAGTTCATATATCTGAGGCAAAAATAGTCACAAAATATGCTGAGTGTACTAAAACATATTTTTCCAGAAGAATGAAACCTATTAGCAGAATAAACAGCTGCAAGCAGCCAGATGGCATGTTTTAAGAAATACTTAATCTGGGAATGTGCAATGATTCACCCTCCTCTGTCCAGCAGATGAGATTTCCTGGGCTGATGTTCGAGATAAGAAGCCTTTGAAACTGAGGGCGAAGTTGAACAAGGCACACTAACCTATGGTAACAGGACCCTGATTTTTTAAAAACGAGAGTGGCACTTGCTTGAAAAGATGATCAAGAAGCAAACTCCAACAGAAGCTACATGACACGCTGTATTCAACAACACGCAGTCAGACCGAAACACACTTAAGTTGTACACACAGCCTCATACGATTTCATTGACTTGAACTAGCTAAACTGAAGCAAAAGAAAAACCTCAAATTTCAATTACATGAAGAAAAAGGAAAAAAAAATTCACAATTGCTGGCAAAGATGACAAATGTGCATCCATCAAAGTCTGAAATGAATGCAAAAAAAAAAATTCACTTGAGATTTCAAAACACTGCATGTCTAATTCTAAACAAAAGTTTCACGCCGACATCATCGCCAAAATCAGAGTATCACAGCCGCTCCAATAAATCCCTGGAAGTGAAGAAAGAAAGAGGGCTGAATGCAGATGCCAAAGGCATGCATCCAAGAGATCATTGAGCAAAATACAGGTGTCCAATGGAAAAAAAAACCAACTCAGGTTTCAATTGCAAAAACTCATGTCACACACACACAAAAAACTTAGACCTAGAGAGGTAGTCACTGTTCTACGCAGACATCACGCTAATCATCGTCGCTGTCGTCGTCGATGACGTTGTTCTTCCCGGCTCGAGAAGGACGCCGGTTGCGGCTGCAACCGGGGGAGTCGGCCGGGGATCCGTCGCTCTCTGCGTCCGGGGAGATTTCGACCTCTCCGACTGGGGAGTCACCGCTCCCTCCCGTCGGAGAACCTTCGCTTTCCCCAGACGGAGACTCTTCGTCCTCTCCGGTGGGGCCTTCCTTGCTGGTGGACGGCTGGAAGAACTGCGTGACGGGCTTCTGCCACTCTGGGGTCGGCTGGGTCTTCACTCGATTTCCTCCTCCTCCTCCACCTCCAAGCTTGGACCTTTCTGGAGCACATGCATAATACAAGATGAATACAAACCTTGGAAAGGTCCATATTACATATCAAAGGTTTAACATAGCACAATTGGAAACACATCCTACATAGAAATATAAAAAATCTTATTAGCAACATTGTCATCTCTCCTTTGTGCTGAACAAACACCTTTCCATCCTTACTCTCTCCAATACCTATTCCTTGCACTCCCCTCCCACACCTCAGTTCTTTGCACCTACCATTTTGTAACACAATACCTATCAGATCGGGGATTCTGATGCAATCCTTTTTCCAGGAAGGTCATATACATAGACATAGCCGACTTTCCCTTTGGCGAATCAAACATGTAATTTAGACAATGGGCAGTTTGCCACAGCAGGTGATCATGTGTTTTTATAATTATGAACTTATTCATAATATAATTCATACAAAGGGGTTCTGGGTCTGTGAAAGCAACTATAAATGGAACAGATATTTTCTCATGGAAAAAAGACTGCACAGTACTTAACATTTCTCAAAGGATTCCAGGACCTCGTGATTCAACTACTACGACAGGAATTAGGGCATGATGATTCCACAGTGAGCTGCTGAACAAAGACTCACATGACAAGACCATTCAACTGCTGCATTTTAAATAGCCAGACACACTGCCAGTGCAGAGTTTTCAGCATGATCTTTGACAGCAATTTAAAAGATTCCATGGTAAATTATTACGTCTCTACCTGTGATTTGTTTGTCTCCCTTTATCTTTCCTAACAAACACTCTAGACATCTACCAGTCGACTACTCACTATACCAGTATACAGGACAGTCACAGTGAAAGGGTTAACAGAGGCTTCAGTTCTAGGTTTTTGCGAATCTCCACAATGGCTCGTTTCAACTCACTGGAAATTCCACCAGGCGAACAAGACGCTCGTGAAGAACCGACGCACTTGCCTGGGGCTCGGGACACCACAGCTGTGAGAGAAAAGAAACTGTAAGACGTGAATGGATAATTCAGTATGCAAATTCAGGCTGAAACATGTCAAGGCAGAGAGAATCAAACGGCAGGCAACAAGGAGGCTGTTGTCCCATGCTTAGCCTAACGTTAGAGGCCTAAGACCAAGGCCAAGCTTAACGTTAGAGACCACATGTTAGGCCTCGACCAGACCTAACGTTAGAAGGCTATTCCTCGGACTAGGTTTGTCTTGCGCAAGTTAAAACAATCTGGGAACACCATCGGCTCTACCGTTATGCCTGTATTAGGCCTGAGGATTCTGAATATCTATCTTAATCCAAGGCATCCACACTGACCCCGTTCTAAACCTTAGCTCAACTCGAGTCTACGACGTAACTCAGGCTGGCACTAGAAACAGGAAACGCGTCCTTACTTTTCCTCGTCGCAACCGACGTAACCGAGGCCTTCGTCCGGGCCATCTTCCCCGCAGACTGCGAGAAAAACTCCCGTCCAGACCGCGCGCTGTCCTTCGACACTCTCACCTGGTCGACCCACACGGGGGACTTCGCGCCAAGTAGTGTTGCCGTCCCCTCAAGGACAAGTTTCCTCGAACCCATCGGAAATGAACCCATAATTGAAGAATAAACCGAATACATAATAGTATAAAATGTTTCATAGCTTCTTAAAAGATAAATTTCAGCTGAAAAAAAATATAAAAAATTGATAAATCTTCAAAAAGCATGAGTTATAACAATTGAATCCTGGCAACCCTGCAACTGCCAACAACCGGCAACCACGTGCATTAGCGCATCGAGCAGTGGCCATCGTCGTGGCCGAAGGGGGAGGAAGCTCCTGCTCCCGCCAACCAGCAGGGAAATGAAATCTGGGCGTCGAAAATCAGAGCAAAAATGAGGTGAGTCCCCCGTGGCTTTTTCGCACAAAGGCGGATTTCGTTCGTGCTACGTCCGACTGGAACCGAAATCATCGCGTTATGGTGCGGCTCGCAAGTCCCATTTCATTTTCACCGGGAATTTCTCGGCTTTTTCGATTGTCGACTTGAGTCGCCGCACGATCGAGATTTATTTATTTACCTTTGTTAATAAAATAGTCCAGCTTTCTGTACCAAGGTTGGCATTGTCTTCCCGTACAAAAAATCGCATTATAAATACATTAATTATCATTAATTAACGCAAGCGAGGCGTCACAACCCAAGCGAGAGGAAAACGCCAATTCAACTCCGCTTTTAAAACTTGACCGAAATCGGACGGCGAACCTCCAGGCACCTCCTGGACATCCCGTAGAAACCTATAGGAGGGCTGGAGGAAGAACAGGGCGACACAAAAGTCCTGGAACTCTTTTTTTTTTACATTTCAAATTTCCTGATCTTTAATTAAGTTTGTTCTAAATTAGCTTTTTCCTCAAATAAAAAATTATTATTTTTTTGTTGTAGGACTTTTGGGTCATCTTGCTTTTGAATGAAATTTCGAAGATGCCAACTCTACGGAAACTTGCTGCACAGTTGGACGTCGCTTCCAAGGAAAAAACCGTTTCTCCACGACCAGTTGCGAAACGATTCCTAAAATTAGACTTTTTTTCTCCAGGTGCGTCCGTTCCCCCGAGGTTTTATTTTTTTATTATATTTTTTTATCTCGATGTTTTCCGAGGCGAGAGGACGGGGGACACGTCGCGTGCGAGTTCTGTCGTCGCTTCCCGAGTGAAGCCATGAAGCTGAGCTGGGCTTTCGTCTTTGCCTTCTCTGCCCTCACGTCCGCGGACGAGCGTAAATACCGTTCGCTTCCTCTTTGCGTCCTCCAAGCCTCCTTGACGTCCTCTTGGTCATCCTTTTCGTTATCCTCTTTGTCATCCTTTCTGTCATTCTTTCATCCTCTGTCGTCCTTCTTGTCATCCTTTCGTTCATCCTTTCCCCCCCATCCTTTTTGTCAACAGGCGTGTGGGACGGAGCGAGCGATAGCTGCTGGTTCCTGACCGAGGGCGGGACGGACGGGCAATGCCTGGCGGAGGATTGCTGCGCTGGCTCCGATTGGGTCGTCGGGGAATGCCCTTCCTATGCCAATGACTGGCGGTGCTGCTTCTCCTATAACCAATGCGCCGACGAATGCGGTTTGTCCACTTGAACTTCCATGGGAGGAGGGGGGAGGGGGATGGGGGACGGGGGGAGGGGGGGGGGGTTTCCAGAGGGACGCGACGTGTTCGGTCTCTCTTCATTATACTCACATTTTGAGATCTAAAGGAAGTTGTTCTTGATGCAGTTTTTTTAATCTCTCCAGGCATTAATGTGTTTTTGTGCGACGAACTTCACAGCCCCTCCTTCATTGGGGGTCCAGTGTTCTTGCGGCATCTAATCATTAAACTCGATATGCATCTTACCCCGCACATGTTGAGCATTGGAGGGAGAGGAGGCACCAAGAAAGAGGGACGAGAAAGTCGTTCCCTCGCGCTCCTCTCCCCGAGTTTACTGTCTTCAAACTCATCATGTGAAGAATTTGTGACTGAAATTTCATGGGACCTAAATACAGTTCACATTTTGGGTTTTTGCTGTTTTGTGAACATTTGGCGAATTCGGAAACCATGGGACTCCACGCTCACGCACACACGCACACACACACACGTACAAAAAAACAGGCTCCCTAAAGGAGTAAAGAAGGGCCATAAAAAATAGCAATATTAGCGATGAAAGAGAGGAATGAGGCAACTCCTCACAAGCCAGATTATGGTGGCTGAAAACCATAAATTTTACCATTTGGGAAGTAAACGACACCTGTAGCAAACTCAGCAGGTGCAATTCCGTCGCCGCTTTTAGTATTTCGTCCCGGTTCCATTTGATCGCGTTCTTCCTCAGGGTCATGCTCGGACTCGGTGGCCCGGGACTATGCGTGCAGGCTGATGGTGATGTACGAGGCCGGGAGGATCTTCCTCAAGCCGAATCACTTTAACGAACTGGGCAACGATCCGTACGACGGCGCCTCGTCCCTCTCGAACATCCTGGACACCTGCCAGGGCAAGCAGGTCAAGAGATCCGCGTGAGTCGCGATTAACCTCTAACCGGTCGGAAACCGGAGCGGTTAACTGGGAGAATTCCTTTTTTGCCAGGTATTGCGCCGAGGCGCCGGGCGGCTGCACGTGTCTCAGAGGGTCCATGGTCAAGGCGCTCTACGAGTACGCGACTAAGTTTTGGAACGAAAACGGCGAACGTCTAGAGGTATGCGTCATTTCTTTAATTGTGCATCGTGAACCGTTTTTTCACGTGTGTGATAAACGATCCGCTATGCACAGTTCCTTCCTGTTCGGTCACTTCCTAGATGTCTTTGTTTCTGTGTCTCAGTCTGTCTATTGCTCGTGTCCGTTCGACGAAAATTCGAAAAACGTAGCCCAGTACTTGTACGTGCGAACGATCCAAGTTACTGCATTTTTTGGGGGCAAATCTGCGTAAATGGATTGCGGTCTCTTCATTTTCACTCGGACGCTCTAAGAGATTTGAGTTCAAATTCCCCACAATTTGCCTTAATCACGTTTGGTACTGGATGACGATGTGAGGATCTTGCCGCAGGTGAATGCACTCGCCGGAAGCTGCCATTCCTCCCTGAACTCGTGGCACTACGTTGGCAACACGTTCGACGTTTCCTGCTCCACTCCCTTGTGAGTTCCATCTGCCTCCTCTTCTCGTCTATGAGAGAGCGGAGGATGAGAAGTGCTTTCGCGTTCAGCTGGCACTGCGAGGAGCTGGTGGAGTTCGTCCGGCAATATCCCCTGGAGGAGCTGTGCTATCCCGGCGGGCCGTGCTCGGGGCACGATACCTGGGTCCATGCCGCCTTTGTCTGATCGAAGGTGGAATAAAGGGCTTTTTCTTGCGCCTGCATGGCAGGCTGGCGGAAATTCTTTGAGGACTTTTTCTCGTCTCAAGTTCGAGTCACGTTTAGGATGTTGTTTTGGCGATCGTTTTAGGAACTTTATCGATGGAAATCGGAAGAAGAGACTCGCAGTTCGAATTTCCTAAGCAGAATAGCAGCACGTTTCACACAGAGCTGTGTACATGTAGTGTACGCACCTGACCGACGGAGAAAATTGCCGATTTAACCCGAGTTCGTTCATGAAAGCCAGGATGACTCAAGTCGCATCCCAGAATTCGTTAACGACAGAATGACAAATTTTCTCTTGTTCAAAATCATAGGAAACTGCGACCTCCTCTGACATCCTCCCTGGCATTTTCGCAATGATCCACGATGATCCCTGCATAGCTCCCTCCTCTCCTTGCCTCTCGCCTCTGCGATTTCAATAACCTCGTTTCCCCCTCCTCACCTTCTTTGATGTCGCTCAAGCTTTTGATGAATTTTGGCATGTAGAGCTTATCTTTTCTCGCTTTGAAATACCCCTGCATCCTATCTGACTGAGAGATCCGTCAGGGTGAGGCTGGGCAATTGTTCTCCCGAAATTCGCTCCTCCACCGCAAGGCTCTCTTATTCTTTTCATTCTTCCTCTCTCAACCCCCCCTCCCCCCTACCATTCCATTCACTCCCTTTCCTTCCACGGCCGCCCCCTCGAACCTGGAGTCCTCCTTTTTCTTCTCCGTCGGTTTTCTCTTCTGCTACCATGCACGAAATAAAAAATTAAGATTCTTTTTGAAAAATGTAAAAATTAATTTTTGTTAAATACTCATTTTTTCTTTAAAAAATACAGTTTACTGCCCTCTAACATTAAAAAAAATGCATCCACCAAAAAAATGTAGCAACCCCCAACTAAATAAGGTCTCTCCACTCGCCAGATCGCCTGATGAGGTACATCCGGCTAGCTGGATACTGAAAACATATTTCGCTCTATTAGGGCGCATGTCTTTAAATAACTTCAGATAAGCTGCAAATGTAACAGTAATTAATTAAGACGACATAATCAGACGTCAACGTAAAATGGCTTGGAACCCATGTCTCTTATTCTTCCGCTTCAGGTGGACTTGAAATGTAAAAAAGAAATCCCCAAAACTTGTCCAACGTCAAATTGAATCGATGCCAATTTCCCCTCCACGTGCCAAAGCGATTCCTCAAATGGATTGGCGCGTATTAAGTGTCGCAGCAGCAAATTTGCAACTCCGTTCAATCCAGTTCTCCTGGAACCGGCAACCCGAATAATAGCTAGTAAGCTGGCGAAGTAAGCAGCAAGAAGACAATTTCAGGCAAGGATCAGACAAAGGATCAGACAAATGATCAAACCAATAACGATCAGATCTCGAAGGTCTCGACCGCCTCGTGAATGAGAGCGGTGACCAGTGTGGTACTAGGTACTAGGGACTGAAGTCCTGTGAAGGAAAACAGCGATAATTGAAGGAGATTGAACACAATGTGGGTAATGAACCTTGTTTTCATCAAGGCGTGGCTCTATCTACTCGAGGCACAAACAACCTGCTTTTTTTCTTAAAGGCCTCACCGTTATTAAGAGTCGGGTGAGAGGACGAGATAACAAGTATTTTTGAGGAAACTGGAAACGCCTTAGTTCTTTTAGTGGGCCGAAATCATGATGCTCTGATTCCAGTCAGAGCGTCGAAAATGGCTTGGGCCGTTCCTGCCAAGGCAGGTGCCAGAAAATGGCAAGAAGAAGTCATTCTCGGGTGCCCAATTTCCCGTAATTTTTTTTTGACATTAAAAAACCTGAGGGTAATTTTCTATAATGAAGTACGCTAATCAGAATCCAAATTTAGGTTAGGGAGGCTGGGCGGCGACGATTCTGAGGTTGTGGTACCCGCAGAAAGAGCATGCTTCGAAAATCGAATTCCTTCAAGATCACACGGACTCCATGGGAACAAAAGTCCTCCATCTTTCCTGAATGAGACTTGTGAACCATCGTTTCCGAACATGTTACAGTATCTGATTTCTCTGTCAAGTGGGGACCATTCGGCACGGAGACTCAATCAACACGCCCGAACATCCTTTGAGGACGCCGACGGAAGTGGCTTCGCTTAATCAAGTGCTGGCCGCGCTGCGGGGCTGGCGCCATCTCGCAGGTGCATTTGACAAATAATGAATTCGTATTATCAAGCGCTGTGGTAAACGCTGTGGTATTCATGTAAATGCTTTACAGATCGCGACAATTATATTATTTATATTTATATTTAAAAAAACAGTAAAGTGACCTCATTTCCGTCATCCGAAGGTTAAAAATATGTCAAACAGCAAGGGTGGCACATTTTAAATATAGCATGAGATTAAAATTTTTTTTTTTTAAGATTCTGAAAATTTAGTCCTCCAAGACCCGATGCTCAAATCCACGAACGATTTCCTTGCTTTGAAATTCTTACCGCCGCTCTTTGCGCCTTGCTGTCGGAATGCGACGGAAACCGGTGGGAAAACTCCTCGGCGAAGAGCCAAGAGGTACGAGGTAAGAGGCAAGTGGTAAGAGGTAAGTGATAGGGAGCTTTTTTAATTTTTACAATTAAAAAAGCCGCCTAAAACCTGAAAGTCGGAAATTCGCGGCTCGGTGTTTTCATACCGGCAGGGGAAGAACATCGCTGAAGAATGTGAATTTATGACTTTGCTTAAGAATTTGTTAAGTTCTTTAGCTTAAGGCACTTCCTGATGCCTGGGGATTTGTTAAAGAGAGTTACAAATTAATCCAGATCGGATTTTTCAATCGATCCTTTAAAATGATTTTTCTCTTAAATTAACCCAATGCGTAACTCGCGAAGGGTAAATAAGGGCTTTTAGTTTCCTTAAATAAAAAAATTTAATAAAATAATTTAAAAATTTCCGGAATAAAACAAAAAGTCTGCAAGGGAACTGGCACGGAGCGAGTTCCCTTTTAGCACGGAGCGAGTGCAGGATGATCCAGTGACTCACCAGTCCGTAATTGAGTGGCCTTTGAGAAATCCATTAGTCACCGTGAAATTCATTAGCCTCCATGGAATTCATTAGCCTCCATGGAATTCATTCGCCTCCGATGAAATTCATCAGCCTCAAAGAGAAATAAAAAAAAACGAGTTTCTCGTTGACCGGAACTGGAAACCCATCGGGACTGGTTCCAGCATTCTAAATTAATTAATTAACCTATGTGGTCAAGGTACGCTGTCGGATTCGCTCGCGAGTCGTGGGGATATGCCTGGGATCGTTGTTGGCATTAGAGGCCAACATTAGAGGCATTAGAGGCCAAACTCTCTCGGTCTCGCGCTTCGATGAACTCTTGGCTCTGATCATCCGTGCGAATCTCATTTCCACATCTGAGATCGAATTGGATCGAATTGAATTGGATGGGCCTCGCCGCTTCGTGTCCCTCGTGATTTCCCAATCATCGTCAATTTTTTTCCGGAATTAATTAGAAAGCGCTTAAGAAATTGCGAGGAAAACATCGTAGGCTGTTATGTAACGATGCGTCGTGAGTAACGCCCACGGAAAACTCTGGAAAAAAAGCTCAGGTGCGCCGGTTCGCACGCGTTTATCTTCCGACTTTTTTTTAAGGCGAAAAGCGAAAAGGAGATCCGTCATTTTCGAGGGAAACCATGAAGCTAGCCTGGAGCCTCCTCGTCTTCTTTGCCTTCGCGTCCGCGGACGAGCGTAAATCCCACTTTCCTCGCGCGACCTCCAGTCGGCCGGGCGACCTCCACTTTCCTCTCGCTCAGCAGGCGAAGTGTGGGAGGGAGCGGGCGACGAGTGCTGGTACCTCATCCTGGAGGGGACCTACGGCCAATGCATGCAGGAGGATTGCTGCGCCCACGAGTTCTGGCTGTCCGGGAAGTGCCCGTCGTACGGCGGGGACTGGAGGTGCTGCTTCTCGCACAACCAATGCGCCCAGGAATGCGGTCTGTTTCTTCTGTCTGGTCTGGTCGGTCGATTCCAACTAGTAAGGGAGAAGAAATGGGGGGGGGGGGAGGGGAGGAATCCACGAACTTTCTATGTTCATCATCGTGAAACTTGGTGCACTCAGAAAATATCACCGCGCCTGAAACATTTGAAGATGAAGAGATGAAGAGTTTCGTTTTGAAAGAAAGTATATAATAGGACAAAAATTGAAATTTTTGCTGGATAATCCACACGAGGCAGTCGACAGGTCGATAAAAATTGAAATGAGGCGCTTTAAAAGCGTTTCGCTCAGGAATCTAATCACGCGATCCGTGAAAGTGATGATTCGGAATTCGTTGAAGGTTGAAAAGAACTGGCCGACCTTGAGAAGGACAGAAGGAGGGCAGGTCGTTAGCCGGCGAGGGAGGGCAGGTCGATAGCCGACGAGGGCGGCGCCAATTCATCAAACCGCCTCTCAAGTCTGATTAGGTTCGTATGGATCGACCATTGTCCGAGAAAAATCCAGAAAGGGACATCCTTTTTTAAACTTGATATCCGGGAATTGGCCGACTGGAAGTTGGCTGACGGGAAATTGGCGAACAAGGAATTGACCGTTAACTTTGTTTCGCGTGCTTGGAGCTGTACAAAGCAAAAGATTTCTCTTAAATTTTTTAAAATTTAAATCAAACGTCTACGAAAGCCAGCACTGAAGGAATAGACAGAAACGCTCGAGCGATTACACAAGACGTTACGTAACCTCCACACGAGCGATTGCATAACACCGATAGCAAGACTACTTTTTTTTAAATATTTATTTAGTAAAGGCGGCTTGCTTAAAAGAAAAAGGAAGATCTCGGGGGAAAAAAAAATGTATAAAGTTAGTTAGCACCTCCCATGGCGACACATAACACCGACCTCCACTACCCCCCCATTCCTCCCGCAGGGTCATGCTCGGACTCGGTCGCCAAGGAATACGCGTGCAAGCTAATGGTGATGCACGAGACCGAGAGGATCTTCCTCAAGCCGAATCATTTCAACGAACTGGGCAACGATCCGTACGACGGCGCCGCGGTCCTCTCCAACATCAGGGACACCTGCCTCGGCCGACAGGCCAAGAGATCCGCGTGAGGATTTCCTTTCCGTATCGAAGCATGAATACTGAAGCATGCATATTGAATTATGAAAACTAAAGCATGCATATCGAGGCATGCATATTGAACCATGCATTTTGGAGCATGCTTGTTTAATCACGCTCATTAAAGCATGCATATTGAAGCGCGAAGGAAAATTCCGTTTCCGCCAGGTATTGTGCCGAGGCGCCGGGCGGTTGTGCTTGCCTCAGAGGGTCCATGGTCAAGGCGCTCTACGAATACGCCAACCGGTTTTGGAATAACTACGGCGAACGTCTCGAGGTTTGTGCGTGGCACTTTGCTCTTTTCGGTGAACTGACTTCGACGAACGACCAAGTTCTGTCCGTTGCTGTTTCCGTAAAACAATAGTCGAAAAAAAAGGGATTTATCGTGGTGGAATTTCACAGTACCAACACCCGCGCGAGAGCCAGCTCCCTCTTTTCAGGAAATCTTAGTTCTTATAATAATAATATAATAATAAGAAGAAGTGGAATAAATGCGTGATATTTATACAGTATAAGAAAGAATAAGTTTCCACTCGATCAATCTGCACGCAAAAAGGCCTTACAGTAGAGTTACAAATTCCGCAGGTGAATTCCCTCGCCGGAAGCTGCCATTCCTCCCTGAACTCGTGGCACTATGTGGGCAACGCTTTCGATGTCGCCTGCTCCACCCCCTTGTGAGTTTCATCTGCCTCCTCTTGTCGTCTATGAGAGAGCGGAGGATGAGATGTGCTTTCGCGTTCAGCTGGCACTGCGAGGAGCTGGTGGCGTTCGTCCGGCAATATCCCCTGGAGGAGCTGTGCTATCCCGGCGGGCCGTGCTCGGGACACGAGACCTGGGTCCATGCCGCCTTTGTCTGATCGAAGGTGGAATAAAGGGCTTTTTCTTGTGCCTGCATGGCAGGCTGGCGGAAATTCTTTGAGGACTTTTTCTCGCCTCAAGTTCGAGTCATGTTTAGGATATTGTTTTGGCAATCGTTTCAGGAACTTTATCAATGGAAATCGGGAGAAGAGACTCGCAATACGAATTACCTAAGCAGAATAGCAGCACGTTTCACACAGATCTGTGTGGAAGTAGTGTAGGCACCTGATCAACTGAAAAAATTGCCGATTTAACCCGAGTTCGTTCATGAAAGCCATATGACTCAAGTCGCATCCCAGAATTCGTTAACGACAGAATGACAAATTTTCTCTCGTGCAAAATCATAGGAAACTGCGAGATCCTCCGACATCCTCCCTGGCATTTTCGCAATGATCCACGATGATCCCTGCATAGCTCCCTCCTCTCCTTGCCTCTCGCCTCTGCGATTTCAATAGCCTCGTTTCCCCCTCCTCACCTTCTTTGTTGTCGCTCAAGCTTTTGATGAAGTTTGGCATGTAGAGCTTATCTTTTCTCGCTTTGAAATACCCCTGCATCCTTTCTGACTCCTCCACCGCAAGGCTCTCTTATTCTTTTCATTCTTCCCCCTTCCCCCTCCCCTCTTCCTCTTAGCTTAAAGCACTTCCTGATGCCTGGGGATTTGTTAAAGAGAGTTACAAGTTAATCCAGATCGGATTTTTCTATCAATCCTTAAAAATGATTCTTCTCCTAAATTAACCCAATGCGTAACTCGCGAAGGGTAAATAAGGGTTTTTAGTTTCCTTAAATAAAAAAATTTAATAAAATAATTTAAAAATTTCCGGAATAAAACCAAAAGTCTGCAAGGGAACTGGCACGGAGCGAGTTCCCTTTTTGCCCGGAGCGAGTGCAGGATGATCCTGTGACTCATCAGTCCGTAATAGAGTGGCCTTTGAGAAATCCATTAGTCACCATGAAATTCATTAGCCTCCGAAGAAATTCATTCGCCTCCGATGAAATTCATCAGCCTCAAAGAGAAATAAAAAAAAACTGGAATCCCATCGGGACTGTTTCCATCATTCTAAATTAATTAATTAACCAAACGTGACCAACCCCTCTCGATCACTTTGCCGAAGTTGTCGGGGGGGATGTGCCTGGGATCGTCGTTGGCATTAGAGGCCAACCTGTCTCGCCGACCCGATCCCGCGCTTCGACGGACTCCAAGCGGCCCGATCATCCGCGCGAATCTCATTTCCACATCTGAGATCGAAGACTTCGTTCTCGGGGTGAATTGGATATGCCTCGTCCCCTTCGTGTCCCTTGTGATTTCCCGATCGTCATCAATTTTTTTTCCCGGAATTAGTTACGAAGCGCTTAAGGAATTGCGAGGAAAACATCGTAGGCAATTATGTAACGATGTGGCGTGAGTAATGCTCACGGAAAACTCTGGAAAAAAAGCTCAGGTGCGACGGTTCACACGCGTTTATCTTCCGAGTTTTTTTTTTAAGGCAAAAAGCGAAAAGGAGATCCGTCATTTTCGAGGGAAACCATGAAGCTAGCCTGGAGCCTCCTCGTCTTCTTTGTCCTCGCGTCCGCGGACGAGCGTAAATCCCGCTTTCTTCGCGCGACCTCCAGTCGGCCGGGCGACCTCCACTTTCCTCTCGCTCCGCAGGCGAAGTGTGGGAGGGAGCGGGCGACGAGTGCTGGTACCTCATCCTGGAGGGGACCTACGGCCAATGTATGCAGGAGGATTGCTGCGCCTACGAGTTCTGGCTGTCCGGGAAGTGCCCGTCGTACGGCGGGGACTGGAGGTGCTGCTTCTCGCACAACTAATGCGCCCAGGAATGCGTTCTGTTTCTTCTGTCTGGTCTGGTCGGTCGATTCCAACTAGTAAGGGAGAAGAAATGGGGGGAGGGGGGGGGGGAGGGAAGGGGGGGGGGGGGGAATCCACGACGTTCTATGTTCATCGTGAAACTTGGTGCACTCACAAAATATCACATTTATATGTACATTTATATAAATATACATTTGAAGATGAAGGGATGTAGAGTTTTTTTTGCTGAAGAAAGTATAACATAGGACAAAAATAGAAGTGTTTTTCAATAGAACTGTTTGCAGGATAATCCATTGAAACCTCCACACGAGGCAGTCGACAGGTCGATAAAAATTGAAATGAGGGCCGAACTGGTGAAATGAGGCGCTTTAAAAAGCGCTTCACTCAGGAATCTAATCACGCGATCCGTGAAAGTGATGATTCGAAAATCGTTAAAACTTAAAAGAACTTGCCGACCTTGAGAGGGACAGAAGGAGGGCAGGTCGATAGCCGACGAGGGAGGGTAAGTCGATAGCCGACGAGGGCGGCGCCAATTCATCAAACCGCCTCTCAAGTCTGATTAGATTCGTATCGATCGACCATTGTGCGAGAAAAATCCAGAAAAGGACATTCTTTTTTAAACAAGATATCCGGGAATTGGCCGAAGGGAAATTGGCCGACGGGAAATTGGCCGAATGGAAATTGGCCAACAAGGAATTGACCGTTAACTTTGTGTCGCGTGCTTGGAGCTGTACAAAGTAGAATATTTCTCTCAATTTTTTTTTAAATCAAACGTCTACGAAAGCCAGCGCTGAAAGATTAGACAGAAACGCTCGAGCGATTACACAAGACGTTAATTAACCGCCAGCGATTTTATAACACCGATAGCAAGACTACTTTTTTTTAAATATTTATTTAATAAAGGAGGCTTGCTTAAAAGAAAAAGGAAGATCTTGGGGAAAAAAAAAAATCTCTGTAAAATGAAGTTAGCACCTCCCATGGCGACACATAACACCGACCTCCACTACCATTCCTCCCGCAGGGTCATGCTCGGACTCGGTCGCCAAGGAATACGCGTGCAAGCTGATGGTGATGCACGAGACCGAGAGGATCTTCCTCAAGCCGAATCATTTCAACGAACTGGGCAACGATCCGTACGACGGCGCCGCGGTCCTCTCCAACATCAGGGACACCTGCCTCGGCCGACAGGCCAAGAGATCCGCGTGAGGATTTCCTTTCCGTATCGAAGCATGAATACTGAAGCATGCATATTGAAGCACGCATATTTAACCACATATATATTTAAACATCTATATTGAACCATGCATATTGAAGTATGAATACTAAAACATGCATATTGAACCATGCATTTTGGAGCATGCTTGTTTAACCACGCTCATTAAAGCATGCATATTGAAGCGCGAAGGAAAATTCCGTTTCCGCCAGGTATTGTGCCGAGGCGCCGGGCGGTTGTGCTTGCCTCAGAGGGTCCATGGTCAAGGCGCTCTACGAATACGCCAACCGGTTTTGGAATAACTACGGCGAACGTCTCGAGGTTTGTACGAGGCACTTTGCTCTTTACGGTGAACTGACTTCGACGAACGCCCAAGTTCTGTCCGTTGCTGTTTCCGTAAAACAATAGTCGAGAAAAATGAATTTATCGTGGTGGAATTTCACAGTACCAACACCCGCGCGAGAGCCAGCTCCCTTTTTTCAGGAAATCTTAGTTCTTATAATAATAATATAATAATGAGAAGAAGTGGAATAAATGCGTGATATTTATATAAGAAACAATAAGTTTCCATTCGGCCAATCTGCACGCAAAAAGCCTTACAGCTCTGCGTAGAGTTACAAATTCCGCAGGTGAATGCCCTCGCCGGAAGCTGCCATTCCTCCCTGAACTCGTGGCACTACGTGGGCAACGCGTTCGACGTCTCCTGCTCCACTCCCTTGTGAGTTCCATCTGCCTCCTCTTCTCGTCTATGAGAGAGCGGAGGATGAGATGTGCTTTCGCGTTCAGCTGGCACTGCGAGGAGCTGGTGGCGTTCGTCCGGCAATATCCCCTGGAGGAGCTGTGCTATCCCGGCGGGCCGTGCTCGGGGTACGAGACCTGGGTCCATGCCGCCTTTGTCTGACCTTTTCGAGTCGGAATAAAATAATGATTTCTCTCAATGCATTTTTGTGAAGGCAATGACTGAGGGGTTATGTCCGCGTATGGATATGTCAGTATTGAGCTTTAAAAAATATCTCTCTTGGAATATTCTCAGCCTGTCAGAACCGTGCAGAAGCAAGGTCATAACCAAGCAAAGACACGAGCATGAGCGAAAGCAAGCACGACCCATTTAATCATCCTTCCGCTTCTATTAGACGTCCACCTGATACTCAAAGACCCTGCAATGACTTCCAATCAGTTTCCTTCCTTTGAGGAACGTTCTCCCATCGCATCCGCGGGGGAATCTCAAAAACAAACCGGCCCGATTCGTTCGGGGAATCATCTAATTTCCTCTCGCCAGCTTCATTGGGAACGGACGTTCTTCGAACTTGACAGGTTTTTCTCCGCGACTCGCCTAATGACACATTTTTCGAAGATGCCGTTTCGAAGATATTCAACCTGGATACTGAATGCATCACAATTATGCAAAAAAATGCTCCTGAACAAAGTTGAGTGGCTCGGTTTTTGGAGTGGATGTTGGCAGGGATGTCGGAATGGATGTCGGCCAAGAGTCTCCAGGCAACCTCTTTCACAGTCCTCCTTTTGCTCCTTTCCTCATAGAGCTTCCCATTACGGAAAGGCGACATTTGATCAGAATTTGAGTCTGGGTGTGACATAAAAAGAAGTCATTTTCATCTTCTCGCAGCGATCTTGATTAAAGGCTCGTTTCTATTCGTCACGGTAAGGTCTTCGTCTCCGCACGCAAAGGTTGCGCACGAGGAAAAAGGAGGAGAGGATTAAAAGCTGGGGAAGCCGGCTCAGCGAAGATTTTTTTTCTGCGCTGGAAGCCATAGAATCGGCGGGCGTCATTGATCTCGTTAGGGTCGGGGGAGTCCGGGGCCGGAGACGGGCGGGGAGCAGTCAGAGGATCGCAGGGGATCGTCGAGGATCGCTGAGGATCGCTGAGGATGGGGGTCACCTTCAAGGTGTTCAAGAAGTGGTCGCCGAACGGCAAGGTGACGCTCTATCTGGGGCGGAGGGACTTCGTGGATCATATCTCCTCTGTCGATCCCGTCGGTCAGTTTTTTTTCGCACACTTTTTCGCAATTTTTTTATTGCAAAATTTTTTTTTTTGCAGAATTCATTTTTTTTTCGAACATCAAAGATAATTTTTCCCCTTCATTTTGCGGAAAAATTTTTCTCACTAGGGATTCAGCCATTTTATTCGTTTGACCGGCGTAGTCTTTGCAATCGGTAAGTAGATTGCAAAAAAATTGCAGGAAAAATTTGCCGACCGCTTCCAAAATCTCCGAAATTAAATAAATTTGCGAGTCGAAATCGGACAACAATTGCGGAAAGTCTGGACCGCCGGCAAAAAAAAAAATCTCATATCCAGATCCATCGGGGAAAACGGAGCGAGTCCACAGTTCCAAGGCTGAGTCCACATTCTCTCCCCCGAGTCCACAGATCGCTTCGCTGCAGAGCCATTTTTTCCTTTCGCGGCAATTTTCCGCTCAGCCCCTCGATTAATCACTACGGAGAATCCCCCAATCAGCCGACAAGAAAAAAAAAAATTCGGCATCAGAAATATTTTTGGATCTCATGCACGTCCGAATTCCACGATTTCTCGATCTTGATCTCGAATTTCAATCTGTGAGGTCGAAACTCCAGACCGTCGCAGGCTGATCGAAAAAAAAGGATTTTAAGACTTGCAGAGGAAACGGGAAGCTTAAGGAGACGATTCTTGTGAACCTCACCCGATCCCCACTAGATGTCTCTGCGATGGAGGATGGGGCCAGAATCGCCGTCAATTCGGTCTCTGGCGCGGTAAGACGCAGCAGCGTCGACAACGGGGAAATGTAATCAATTTCAAATTCAATTCAAGTTTCGGATTTTTTGTCAAATCGCCGAATCTGTCAATTACTCGGCATGGCATCAAGGTCAAAGGTCAAGGCGCAAAACACGTTGAATCCCAAAATATACATCCCTTTACCCTTGACCTTTGACCTTCAGCCAAGCAAATGTTCGCAAATCCAATAATTCACAAAAGTGCAAATTCATAAATTTGCAAATTCACAAATGTGCAAATTCACAAATTTGCAAGGACGACCCCCTGCCGATTCCCCCCAGATGGCGTGGTCCTGCTCGACTCCGAGCTGCTCCGCGGCCACACTAAGGTCTGGGCCCAGCTGCTCTGCTCCTTCCGCTACGGGCGCGAGGAGGAGGAGGTGATGGGCCTCACCTTCCAGAAGGACCTGTTCCTCGCCAGCGAGCAGGTCTTCCCCCCGGCCAAGCGGGACGTCTCCCTCACCAAGTTACAGGTCGGATTCTTTTTAATGGAAAAAGTTGCAAGGAAATGTTATATATTTAAAAATTAAAATAAAAAAATTTCCCCTTATTTTAAAATTAATTCTTGCAATTTTTAGAATTCTCTCGAAGGAAAGTGAGAAAGAATGGGCAAATGTCATTGGGCTAATAGGGAGCAATTGAACTCGTCTCTGCTCACGTTAATGCTAATCAGGATTAAGAATTCATTAGAACAGGTCATAATTAACATGTAAATTGCTTCCTCGATAGAGGGAAATTTCAAGTTCCAAATATAAACCGGATTTTCCTGCAAATCTATCCTGGATAATTAATTTAAAATATGAAGGTAAAAAATATAAAATTAATATCAATAATTTAATTTAAATATTTATTTTATTTATTTTTTTTTCACGAAAAGGAGCGCCTGATCACGAAGCTGGGTAGCGGAGCGTACCCGTTCACGTTCACGATCTCGCAGCACGCCCCCAACAGCGTCAGCATCCAGTCGGGCGGGGTCGACGACGAGAAGAACCCGCTGGGCGTGGAGTTCCTGGTGCGCGTGTTCGCCGGGGACTCGTCCGAGGTCAAGCCGGGTAACAGGTCAGCGGGTCGCCGGGGGGACGAGGTCGATCATTCGCATTTTTATTCTCCGAGGTGCGTTGGTTCTCCTTCCTCTGATCGGAAGTAGTTGGCACCTTGGAGGATATTGATGGGGATGCTCGGTCGAGAAGGAGTTTTGGAGTCTGTCTAGAAATTGAGTTTAACAATTTAACTAAGAAAGTAAAAAAGATTTATAGGAAAGCTAGGCTTATCAAAAGAAAGGTAGAAATTTTATTTTTAAAATTTAATAAATACTATAAATTAAAATAAATAAATACTAACAACTCAATAACACCCTAAAAAAAAGGTAGGAAAAGCCATAACAAGCGTTGAAAATAAATTCGCGAAATTAAAAAAAAAATTAAAAATGAAATTGGACACGACCCTCGCACCCACCTCTCCCCGCCTCCACCCCCAGGAGCCTGGTGGAGCTCGGGATCCGGAAGGTGCAGTACGCCCCATCGAAGCAGGGCAAGCAGCCGGTCACGCTCGTCCGGAAGGACTTCCTCCTCAGCCCGGGGGAGCTGGAGCTGGAGGCTTCCCTCGACAAGCAGGTCGGTGCAGATTTTTAATGGCATTAATGGCAAGTATTGCAAATTAAAAAAAATAATAAGTTTGTCGGGTTTTTCGCGCCCTTTCAGGCGATCTACTTAATATATACATTAAAATAAAATGTATTCTTATAGACATTATCACCTGATGAAAGATGTTTCCATTTTCTCAGACAGCTCGGTTCGGAATCGAGTGATACAAATTTCTCACTACTTAACTAATATCCCTCTCTCTGAAAATTTATTTACGAGAAAAGACATCTGGGACATTTCCGCATGATGGCAGTTTGCTACCATCAGGACATTCTTAGACGCGAGGAAGTTATTGAAATCTATCGCTGTTACCTAACGTCAGTTAGTTATTTTATCTTATTTATTTTTAATTTTCGTGGCTCTGAGTCTCACGAGGAAATAATAAAATAAAAAATATATATTTATCTTCATGGAAGGATCCCTCGATCAATAAAACATCGCGGCTTTTGACAGCAATCCAAGGACAACAAAGCCCCGCAAAACTGATTTCCCAGGGGCTCAGATCTAATTCTCATCAGTCTTAAGGAAACCATCAACGGCATCGAGGGGAAAGAGCCTCCTAGGGAAAAAAGGGGTACGAGCCCCTGGATGTCCGCCGGACCCGCTGAGCCCCCGGGTCCGCGGGGCGAGCGAAATTGCAGGCTGCGCATGTTCCGCTTTTTGGCATTGAATTTCCCCGAGCATTTTCATCGATCTGCCGCGGATGTAAAAAGGGGATGAAAAGGCAATTATTTTTGAAGGAGTCATGCAATCTCGAGGCCTCTGCGATGAATCGAGTGCAATCTCGACCCTTCCCCCCCCCTCCCCCCCCGGGAATTTCTAATAGAGAAGTTTCATTTCGTTCTTTTTTCCTTGGAATTTCTTTGAATGTACGGCGAATCCTCGAAATACCGCCGGCCTCGTAGGATCCCATCATCTGCCAAAACATGTTTTTTTTTCCCCTCCCTTAAATCCTCATCGATTTTCCATCAAGATTTTCCACCGCCTTATCTCGTACAAAGCAGAGGTAAATATTTGCCAACATCGAGAAAAACACTTCCCCAAGTAATTAAATTTTTTCGCTCCAGCTTTACTACCACGGCGAGCAGATCGGGATCAACATCGGGGTCCGGAACTACAGCAACAAGGAGGTGAAGAAGATGAAGGCGAGCGTGCAGCAGTGCGTGGACATCACCATGTTCAACACAGGGCAGTACCGGACCACAGTCGCTTCTGTTGAGACCGAGTGAGTCCTGGTCTCGATCGCGTTCCCGGTAGGTCTCGATCGCGTTCCCGGTAGGTCTCGATCGCGTTTCAATTTCCTTAATTAAAAGGGACAACTTTGATAGTCACCAATGATGGAATAATCATGTCAAAGTAATCCGCTCGAAAGCATCTAGCATTTAACTGCTTAAAAAGATTCTGGCCGGAATTAACAAATGCGAACCTCATGTAATTTATAAATGATATGTGACATACCCCGGCCCGGTCCTAACGTACGCGCTCGCAGCTTGGGAAAACTCCCCGGAGACGGTCCTCGATCACCTCGAAGTCATCGAACGAGCTGCAATTAAATTCGCCCTCCGCCTCCCAACTTTATTTCCTAACTCCTATATTTATCGAATCAGTGGACTCACCCCTCTCTCTCGGCACGCTTCTGAACAAGCATTCAATTATTACAATGACCATAAAAGGCCAGGGGATATCCGAGAAGTTCCTGAAAGATTAAATAAGAAATTTACCATAGGGCGCTTCAAGCATGGTAAAACCTATCCTTATAATAAAATATTGCAACGTTTAGGAAAAGCATTAACGTTTTCTCCTGACCCCCCAAGCCATTCCGCTCTCACCGGTCTTGTGTCGACACAGCATTTTTTTTCCTGCGGCACCTGAATCGATAAGGATCCGGGAAACCTGAGCCTATCCCTTTTCTGTTTCACTCTATTTCCGCCTCGCTCTTAAATTCTTTCGCAGCAGTGCTTTTTTTTCCACGTAGGAATGTCCTGAGAGCACCCCCGCTCAAAACTACTTCTCTTTTCTTTCCTTCATTCCTTCCTCTCTCTTTTTCTCTTCCTTTTTGAACAAAAAAAATCCAGACATTCTCACTCTCACTATAGCGGCCAAAACAAGACCTCACTCCTCGATCTCACCTCGCACGACTCCAATAAAGTAAATAGGCACTGGTCTCAAATAACCCCCTGCCTCAGTTCTTCTCACCAGGGCGCCTGATGCGGCCCTTCCGGCCAGCTGGCACCTGGAAACACCTGCTCTTCCTGTGGGGCATCTATCCTCTAAACAACTTCGGACAGGATGTAAATTCAGTAAATTCAGCAAGAACTAAATAACCATGAACATACGAAAAGAAAATCGTGAAGTGCTAGGATTTAAACATCTTTCAACTTCTTCAAAAACAAGTGGACCAAAAATGCAATCTGCCCCAAACAACAAACCTATTAAATGACAGGTTCCTTCTCATTAATGGCCGCTGTCATTAAAGAAAAATGGAAGTGAGAGCTTAAAAGTACAAACGGGAGAGATCCAGGCGAGAATGCGAGCGTGATTCGCCCTCACGCCTGAGTCACGCGTCATGACTCAGGCGATGACAATAGCTTCACCAGAGTTTCGCCCTCTGCCAGCCCTGGTGTTGGGAGGATCTCACCACGGCGGGCGGGAGTCATGTGCCACATGGCTCCACCATACCTTTAGCTCCTTTTATTATAAAAAAAAGCGGGCGTCTGCACTAATCTAAGTCAAGGACAACGGTGATGACTCTGTGTCGTAACGTGGTAACTTTCACAACATGTCTTTAAGATTAATTAATTATTAAGTAATTAGTTGTGCGATCACTAGACAGCAGCGCATCAGCTTTCTTGAACACCATGTCGATGCCTATTGTTCGCTTTTACCCATATCTTGCATAGGATAATTCGGACATCTCTCTCCCTCCTGTCATAATGAGCACAGGCAAAACGGTCAGGATTATGGAATTTTTTATTAAATTAAATCCCGCGGTATTTAATTTCTGGGACGTCCTCAGGGAAGGCTGCCCGATCGGCCCCGGCTCTGCCCTGCAGAAAGTGGTGGCCGTGAAGCCGTCCATCGAGATGAACCGGGGGCGGCGCGGCGTGGCGCTCGACGGGAAACTCAAGCATCAGGATCCCAGCCTCGCTTCGTCTTCGCTGTGAGTCTTTTTTTTAAATTATTCATGAAAGGTATATATAAAAAGAGGTTGATTGGGTGGTTGTGGGGCATGGTAAGATGAAAATATTAAAAGTTTGAGCTGCGGGTTAATTAAGGTTTCATTTTATTTTATTATCCAGGCTTCTTCATTCCATTCAAGTAAAATCACTTTCTTGTCTTTTCCCATCTCATCAAAGTCGGTTCATTAACGACCATAATTATTTAACACTTATACATGTTGGATGAGGGAAAAAATTGTCATGGAAGCATGCGATGGATTCCCTGCAGACTGGCGGAGATGGACCTCCGGGAATCCTTCGGCGTGATCATCTCCTACGTGGCCAAGGTGAAGCTGTACCTCGGGGCCCTGGGCGGGGAGCTCACGGCCGAGCTGCCCTTCGTCCTCATGCATCCCAAGGTGGGCGGATCGAGGCGCAAAAAAAAAGCTATAGGACTTCAAACCGAGAGAATAGCGGAATTGTTAAAATATGTCATGGAAATGTTGCTTCCGCGGCCGGCCTCGGGAGTTTCTTGATACTGGAATATTGATAGTTAATTAAGAAGCTTCGAACCTAGGAAATTTTGTCCTAAATTTGTTAAATATGTGCTGTTAGTATTTGGAAGCAACAGGGCGATTTTTAGAGGCAACTTGAGTCTGTCTCGACATTCCAACAGTCACCAACCCTTCAGCCTGGACGTCTAATTATCACGTAACTGCGACCAATATAGAGAGAAGAAAAGAGGAAGATCAATATTGAACGATATTGTGGCAGAGAAAAATGTAATCTCTCTCGGAACAGCCGGAGAAGGAGAAGCTGATCCGCGAGGACTCGCAGGCCCAGGTCGAGATGTTCCGGCAGGACACGGTGGACGGGGACGCACCGCCCAGCGGCGGCAGGAGGCTCCTCAAGGACATGCAGAAGCTCAGCCTCCAGCATTGAGGATGGGCTTCGTCGAGAAGTCTTCTCCGAAGAATTTCCAATGCTGAATGGAAGCAGGGGGAAAGGGGATGTGTATATTTCCCGTTTTGGACTCTTCGTTTTCGTTTTCCGATTTCTTGATCCCCATGGAATTGTAAAAATTTGATTGGATTTCATCAAAAAATATTCTGGTGCGTCAGAGGCCATACAGTCCAAATTTAATTTCGCATCGTTCGGCACTTTTCTGCCTTGCATTGGATGGAGAATAATTATGGAAAGTGTTTCTTAATTGGATTCATTTTACATTCGCAATGTAAAGGAGTTGTGTAAATCATATTGATTGGTGTGGTTCATCGGCGAAGGAGAATTATTTTCTAAATCGTGATTTTAGACGTTAAGAAAGCAGTGATGCGTTCAAAATGTCCCACTTTGCCTATCTCAATTGGAAGAATGTGAATCAGCATGAAAAGTGTCAAGTCAATCAACGAACACATTATTATTATTATTATAAATATTGCATGTGATATGGGAGTTAGGGGGATAAAAAAAAATCAGAATTGCAAAACGCTCACGTCCCGGATTCACGGGTGAGCGATCGAGTGATTCATTCGGTAAAATGGTGTGATTTTTTGATGAGGCAGCTTCCTCACGTCCTTTCCATAACATTTATATTGGATTTCTCACCTCACAAAGTGCTTCGTTCTCATGTTTCACTCTCTGCACCGAAATGAAACTCAGCAATGTGCACCCTATAGAATTTTTCTGCATCGATTGGTGTCGTGTCACTTCAGTATTCGTGCCTGAAATAATCATCCAATTTATTGGTAGCAAGATTGAGAAGCCCTGAGTGGTGGAAATATATCGATTATTGTTTGGGTGATAAAGTTGCTATTCAATCCATTGCGAGTCGTTATTTGTTGATATTAAAAGAATGAAGAAAAAAAGTTGCCAAGAGACGGGAATCGCGATGGATCCGCTGTCTTACTGCGTCCTATTGGACACGTGCTGCTGTGGCCTCTACGACCTGAAGCACGGATGCGTCGCGATCGGGATCGTGGATCTGGTCTTCAACTTCCTCGACTTGGGACTTCTTTTCGGGATCTACCGGGTGCACGAACTGATCGGAAGCGAGGCGAAGCCGGAGGTGCCAGCGTCCCTGCTCATCGGGGATGTCCGGAGGACGGAGTTCATTCTGGCTGTCAAGTTCCTCCTGTTCCCTGCCACCGTCCTCATGATCCATGCTTCCATCCGGGTATCGGTCGTAGCCCTGTTCCTGAGAGGGATAGGGCACATTTTAAATTAACTGCTACAATTGTAGATAGATGGTGAATGCGATTCATGTTCCATTACTTTCCTAGATAGATACATGCAACAGCTCCAAAAGGCCGATTGTGAGAAGGATGGTGGGTATTGTGAAAGACAGTGTCTTGAAAGTAGTTGGTCTTTAGAAAGAGTGATCAAGATATTGAAGAAAAAGAAGTTTGAATTGGCGTCCATGAGCATTATTTCGAATTGATCGAAGCAAATGATCAAGCTATATATTTTACCTCGTAGAGAAGATCCTCATGAGAAAGCTTTTCATGATGGACTTTCTTGAATTTTTCAGGAGAGACCTTGGCATCTGGCGCCCTTTGTCGTCTTCAACTGGCTTCTCATCATCTTCCTATTTTTGGGTCTGCTTACGACGAATGTGATGAGAGGACCGGATCTCCCCGACGAACACTTCGAGGAACATCATCCCCGAATTTTGACCCCAGTCACACTGGTTTTCCTAAATTTCTACCACCTCTCTCGGATCCTGGTGAAGATGTGGTTCGCCGCCACGGTGAAATCGTTCGGAGCTCTCATCCTCCAACAGAGAAATGCGACAGAAGCGTCGGGACGCAATTGAAAGGGTGCCCGAAGTCCCCCATAGGAAGGACACCCCTCCCCCTTCCGGAAGGTACACCGGTTCCGAGATTCGCTGGAACACCTTCAAATCCAAGAAACTCCGCTTCAAGAAATTAAAGAAATATCCCAACTTGAAGGAGGAGCCTGACGCCATGTCACCATGGGCCAAGGAAGACACATTTATGGTCAGATTGCGACGGGCTCTCGATCGCCATGGAATTTTTAAGTGGGGATGGGCGACAAGGAATTAGCATGATTAAGGAGAACGGGAATGAATAGTGCAATGGTCCCCGATAATACCACGATTTTAATTTATTAATATAAACTTTCATTCACAAATTTCTCAATATGTCGTATCTTATCCTCCTCCATTCATTTTCAATTTGGACATTACCTGGAAATCGAATCGATGGGTCTTTGTGTCCAGGTGAAGCAAAGAGACCGGTGCAAATAATAAAAAAAACACCTTGTAAATATTTCAAAATGGAATGAGCTGCAACATGGACGAGATTCAAGTTGTGCCCATATAAGTGGCTATAACTACCTTCCCCTTTAACACACAAGATCCAAGAGACAGGATTGAAGGATACCAGGTGCTGCAGTACCTAGGTGTTGCTGCACCTCCTGCGACACCTGGAAAGCAATGTCCACAGATCGTTGGGAATCTTTGATCTGCTTCTTTGTGGACGACGTTAATAATCGCGCTGCGCTTTTACCTATTCATGGGACGAAATGGCATGTCAATTCAATGGCGCATACGTGAAAAATGTCGTAATCATATTGTTCAATAGGTGAGCGTCTATCTTATGCGAACAATGAATCATGATTGGGGAACCACATGGTTGGTTTAGAGCATAACCGTCGTCTTATCGATCACTGAGATCGCTTCGTACCCGGATTCATGCAATATTAAATTCGGATTTCCTTTCTCCTTCAGGGGGTCTCTCGACTCTGTCAACCGCAAGTGGTCCTGAGATTCGTAGCAAAAAGTTCATCGGCGAGAATTACATTCTGTGCGAAGGTTATTATATAACACCCTGGGACATACCCTTTTATTCAGTGTCAGGCGCTTGGTCCTGGGGACATTTGGTCACGAGGGAAGAGTGATGAGAAATTAGCATGATAAGGATTTTAAAGTGTTCAAATATATATATTCCAAAATTACCGAAGTGCGTTTCGTCGTGACAGATATACGCTTCAAAGCCTCTTAAGGGGTTAGTTTCGGAAGAAGCAAGGAAGTAATAAACAGACCCGCTGTTCAGAAGATATACGAAAACCGTAATATCATACTTCAAGCTGATATTATGGGGGAATTTCCGAAACTATGACGATAATTCCTGGGGAGTAAAGAACAACGGATGCGATGGTGAAACCATTGGAAATGCACATCATCATTGTAAATTTTAACATACGGATTCCGCAAACTAAGCAATATTCAGTGTTTTTCCATATATTTACTAACGTCCAGACTTTCCAAAAATTAATGCATTTCTCCCATTTTTAAGATCTTCCAGTCGGCAGGCTTTCGCCCATTTTTGGTCACGTTCAGTTGTCTCTCGTTAAAGCAGGGGGTTGTCTTCCCGAAAGAGCAAGATTTCCACCTTTGAAGATGAAATTAATTAATCTCGATAGGACGAAATCTTGCGCAATCGTTAACACAGCCTCTATTATTCCTCGTAACAATGTTCACATTTCAACGCACCCCCTCCACCCGGATAACGAGAGCCAACTGCACTATGAAAACGTTATTTTTTGTGTTCTTAGTTCAACCTTATCTGTCTCCAGATGGAATCCCGACAAAATAAGAAGCAATGGAAACGACTGAAGTGCGCGGTGGGTCTTATTCTCGCTTCAAGTAGCATCCTGGCACAGAGTCCAGAATGCGCAACATACACAGATGCGGCCCAAATTGCACAATAAATTGGTAAATTATTATTTCTTTTTAGGCATGAAAAGTGATGTGACACGACAGGAATCAATACAGGAAAATTCTGCAAAGCCCACATTGCTGAATTTAGTTTCGGTGCAATAAGCATTTGTGAAATTGGACAAAGTTTCTCAGATTGGCAAGTTTGGGTCATCAGATTGAACATGGACATTGCACGAAAAAAAAATACACGAAAGATTAATTGTGAACACACCATAGGTGATAATATCATAAATTGACAAGACACTTGATGTGAATATTCCCAATACCCCAACTAGAGTTTGTGATGGTTTGAAAAGCAAAAACATGGTGTAGACGTGGTTGAAGATGTCTAAAACGCTGATGAGAGAAACACCGAGGCAGAGGCCAACGATTCCTCCGATGTTGGAGAGAAGATCGAGCAGATTCATCTTCTCCTTTTCCAGGATGTAAGAGACCTGTCGGTGAATTCAGTAAAGGGATGCAATAAGTTTTGTTTTCACAGCAAATAGTTATTATAATGTAGTTTAAGAAAACGGATAGGGAACAAACCCGAGTAGATGGGAAACTGAAATAGAGACATGCGTGACCCTTCTCGGAGCAAAAAACGTTCTTATTCTTATGACACTTCGTATTTAGATCGGGCGATACATAATACTCCGTCAAATTGCACCTCCTCTGACAGTTGCAACTGCTCCATAATGATCGCATTATGCCATTGCTGAGGCGGGGCAGAGTTGCTCTCTGTAAAGTTGAGCTCCTTGGATCGCCACATGCAGGTTTCGTGAGATTGACTTCGTTGGGAAGCAGGCCGGGGCTGAGACACGGAAGATCTGGATGGGCCTGGATCCTTTCCCAGTAGCAGTTCTCGATGCACTGGAAATTAATATTCATCATGTGACGATGTCACATTTTGGAAACTCCGTTTTACTGATAATGTGCCTCATTTCGGCTGAACTCACCCTCGCGAAGCTGTAATCCTGTGTCTGGTTGCATGGCTTTTCCTTTTTCCATTGTCTGGTAATGACCCCAGGACGAATAAAAATACTGGTGATTGTACTATTGCAAAGGTCGATCCCCTCAGGCATAAATATTTCCAAGTTTGTGAACTTTTCCCTTTGGTCGTGAACGAAGAAATCAACCTGGAACCAGAAATCAATCATTGATTCCTTTTTTTCCCTGGAAAGATTCGAATGCTCACCATCTGTAAGGGGAATGATTTTTTCCCTTTTGGCAGTAGACCCATTTATCAAATGCATCGGATAGGCGCCGGTAGGTATGAGTTCTACGAAGTCGAACAAAGACACGGACGCGTCTTCGAATGCCTGGAAATGGTGATATATATTACTTCTCCAGTCGCCTTCTTCTACAGAAGAACTCAGGGATGGTTTGGGACAGATGGTAAATGCTGGAGGATCGATGGAAATGAGATCCTCAGTCATGTAGAGAGTATTCGTCGGGATGGACTGGTATTCTTCGACCATATGCATAACCTGTAGGTGAAAATTTGGCTGTTTTTCGTATCGACGATAAGTGGAATGGAATAAGTTCGTGACTTATTGACCCTTACCTGTTGGATTGCAAGGGTCGCACATGCCGTTATCACGATTGCCCTCAAGACGGACCACTTCATCCCTGCTCCGACGTGGCTGTTTGCAAAAGTGAAATGAACTGCTTACCGTTCTTCTTTCAATTTGAAAATGATATTAAGCGAAGTTTCACTTTGGACTTCCCGAGACAGGAGATCCTTCGCAACTTTCCCGTTCTTACATTCTATGGCACCACTTGACACTTGAAAAATCATTTGAAGAATGTTTATCTAACGAATCGTCGATTTGTAACATCCTGAAGTAATGGTAATGCAAGTTAAGATGTGAAAATGATGAGATGACAAAAAAAAAGAAGACATGCCCACTAATGAGAAGCCAAGACGATGAGATGAACAACTAAGATCATGGATAGAAACCCTCGAACGAACGCACTTCGTTTTTGCAGCTGCACTGTGAGTCCTTCGATACCGCGCTGAAGACCATTCAACTTTTCCCAATATGTTTCGCATGTCGTCATTCAAGGGCGATGTTTAGCCCCTTATTCAGTGCATG